CATGCCCAGCTTGTGGAATACCTTTAATCCCACTGCATGTGGAGGCAGAAGCAGGTAGATGTCTATGAGTTGGAGGCTACCCTGGTCTACATAGAATTCCAGGCTGGCCACTGACCAGGGATACACAGTGAGATTCTGTCTAGAAAAGAGAGAGACAGAGAAAGACAGATACACAGAGGGAGACACGGAGATGGGGAGGCAGGGGTGAGGTGCCTGAGAGATGGCTCAGAAGTTGAACGCTCTTACTGCTCTTGCAGGGGACCAGAGTTCCCAGCACCCATGCCTCACACCTGCCTCTACCTCCAGCTCCAGGAGATGAGCCTCAGACCTTGCTGGCATCTGCATGCACAAACCCACCACAGACACATAATTAAAAAAATAAAAATAAATCTATACCGTTCCCTGTCTAGGGCTACACAGAAAAGCACTGTCTCAAAAAGCCACCTTCCCCCCAAAAGTTACAGAAAACATTTCAATAACATTCAACATTTCCTTTAGAGACCTGGTAGAACAGGCATTGTAGAGCATAGTTATGACCCCAGCTACTTGGGAGACTTGGGACCTTGCAAGTTTGAGGACAACCTGGACAGCTTAACAAGACCTGTCTTAAAAGGTGGGGGAAGGTTTGGGACACGGCTCAGTGGGTGGAGGGTTTGTCTAGTGTGCACAAAGCACAGAATTCCATCCATAGCACCATATATATAAACCAGTGTGGTGATGTCTGCCCAAAATCCCAGCACCTAGATCTTCACGAGTTCAAGGTCATCCTGGGCTACTTTGGTCTATGTGAGGGTGTGGCTCACAAAGAGGTGACACAGTGTGGTGTGCTCATCTGGCGTGTATGAGAGCTCGGTTCACGCCCTGCTGAAAGGCTAAAATCTAGATCAAAAGAACATCCAAAAAAAAATGTTGAATTTTTTTTTTAATTTTTAACAGCTGGAGATCAAACTGAGAGCCTTGCTCACATTACACAAGCATACTACTCCTGAGTTACAGCTCCAAAGAAAATAGTCTGGGTTTTTCTTTTCTTTGTTTAAAGCTTGCTACTGGGTGAGGAGGGGGTCATAGGGCACCTTTTAGGACTTGATTCTCTCCTTCCAATGCGGGATCTGATGATCCAACTCAGGCTGTCAGGGTTCTGAGACAAACGCCTTTCCCCACTGAGACATCTTTTTTGTTTTTGTTTTTCGAGACAGGGTTTCTCTGTATTGTTTTGGAGGCTGTCCTGGAACTCACTCTGTAGACCAGGCTGGCCTCGAACTCACAGAGATCCTCCTGCCTCTGCCTCCCGAGTGCTGGGATTAAAGGCGTGCGCCACCAACGCCCGGACCCACTGAGCCATCTTGCTGGCCCATTTTCTTTCCTCCCTTTCTCTCTCTCTCTCTCTCTCTCTCTCTCTCTCTCTCTCTCTCTCTCTCTCTCTCTCTCTCTCTCTCTCTCTCTCTCTCTCTCTTTCTGTCTTTCTTTCTTCCTCTCTCTCTTTTTTAGAGGTGAGATCTCATGTAGCCCAGGTTGGCCTTCGACTCTCTCTTAGGGAAGGATGTGTTGACCCTTCATCCTCTGCCTCTCATGAGCTTTTGGGATTGTATGTCTGTGCCGCTACACTTACCTCCAACTTCCATACACAGTAATCTTAACTGGGTAAAGCTCACGTCTAGCACTTACTTATTGTATGTGCGAGCATGTGTGAGCCACGCTGCACGTGTGGAGGGGGCAAGAGGCAAATTGCAGGAGTGGGTTCTCCCTTTCTACCATGTGAGTCCTGGGGGTTGAAGTCGGCTGTCAGGCTTGGTGCCAAGTACCCCTGTCTGCTGAGCCGTCTTGGCAGCCCTAGGGGAAGAGTATCTGAGCTAAGATGATTATGGAACTGCGAAATGTTTGAAGCATTAATTATTTGTCTATTTGTTTGGGGCTTTTAAAAACATGTATGTAGCTGGCTGGTGGTGACACACACCTTTAATCCCAGCACTCGGAGGCAGGTGGATCTCTGTGAGGTTAAAACCAGCTTGGTCTACAGAGCTAGTTCCAGGACAGGTAGGGCTGTTACACAGAGAAACAAAAAAACTCCACGTACTTGTGTGTGTGTGTACCTCTGTGAGTTTATGAGCACCCAAATGTGCAGGATGCCAAAAGGGGGTGTCCAATTCCTTGGAACTGAGGTTGCAAATGACTGTGAGCTGCCTTCTGGGTGCTGGGAATTGAACCTGGGTCTTTGCAGAGCTGTCACTGCCCTTAGCCACTGAGCTGTCTCTCCAGCTCCCTGTTTTTGGCTTTTTATAGGAGGTCTGTGTAGCTCAAATTGATCTTGACTTCATGGGTCCTCCTGCCACAGTCTCCTAGGTGTTGGAATTTCACATACCTATGTGCCGTCCTGCCCAGCATTCTCTTTTTTGTGTGTGCTTTGTTTTGTTTTTTTGAAACAGGATTTCTCTGTGGCTCTGGAACTAGCTCTTGTAGACCAGGCTGGTCTCAGACTCACTAGGTAGCCCTGGCATTCATTATGACACTGAATTCACAGAGATCCACCTGCCTCTGCCTTCCCAGTGTTGGGAGTAAAGGTGTGTGACATCACACCCTGCATAGCCTTTTGTTTGTTTGTTTGTTTTAAGCATTTCTTTATCACCAGAAAAAAGAACCCTCACAATGAGCTCCCAGTCTCCACAAAAAAGTGACAGATATAGTCTAGAAATTAAGAAATAAAAATGGGGCTAGAGAGATGGCTCAGCAGTTAAAAGCACTGCTGTTCTAGAGGACCTGGGTTCGATTTCCAGCACCCACACGGCAACTAACAACTGTCAGTAACTCCAAGATCTGACCCCTCACATCCAGGTACATACAGGAAAAACACCAATGCAAATAAAATAAAAATAAATAATTAATTAATTAAAAAAATAAAAATGTCACTCTTTGACAATGTTTTATGTTCAAAAGAAATAAGAAAGAAGTTCAAACCAAAATAGCTCACAGAGAAATGATGGGAGTGAATAGCTAATAGGAAAATTATACAGGAAGAAAAAATATTAGCACACTTGAGATGGGGGTTGCCTCTGGTGGGAGAAGAAAAATAAATCACATTGGGGAAGGACTTGATTGTGGCTTTAAAGCTACTGACATTGTTACATTTCCAGTTTTTGGTTTGTTTTTCTCTCTGTCTTTGAAGTAAGGTCTCACTGCCTAACCTAGAAGTTGAATGTAGATCAGGCTAGCCTCACAAATTCTGTGATTAAAAATGTGTACCATGGGCCACCATGAGGGCAGCGACCACTTTTCTTTTTGTGAAGACAAGTGTTCCTTTACTATTCTGAAAATTCCCAGATTGATTTTAGGTGTTTCCTTGTTTATATGAAGTAACTGTTTTCTCTTGCTGCAACACAACACTCAATGTTGAATGTTTATGAAGAAAAAGTAGGGCTGGGGAGATGGCTCAGGGGTTAAGAGTAGTAGCTGCTCTTCCAGAGGACCTGGGTTCAGTCTCCAGAAACCACATGGCGGCTCACAGCTGTCCCTCACTCCAGTTTCAGAGACTCTGACACCCTCATACAGATGTACATGCAGGCAAACATCAACGCACATAAAATAAAAACAAATAAATAGAAAAGGAAAAGAGGGCAGGGTGGTGTCGCTCGTCTTTAACCCCAGCACTCAGGAGGCAGAGGCAGGAGGATCTCTGTGAGTTTGAGACCAGCCTGGTCTACAGAGCGAGTGCCAGGATAGGCTCCAAAGTCACAGAAAAACCCTGTCTGGAAAAAACAAAACAAAAAAGATGGGAGAGCATGGGATGGTCTTTCTGCACAAAGACAGCAAGGGCTGAGGTGGCTCAGTAAGACACCCTGCCCCGCCCAGGCCTGCATTCCACTCAGCACTCTCCCCTAAAAGAACCTAGTCTCTCTGTGTGTCTCTAAGATTCTATTTATTTATGTCTATGTGTGTGCATATGAGTGTCAGTGCCTCTGGAAGCCAGAAGAGGGCGTCAGGTCCCCCGAAGCTGGAGTCACGGGGTTGTGAGGCACCTGGCAGACTGTCCTCTGCAAGAAATCAGCCTCTTAACTGCTGAGCATCATTCAGTCCCAAACAACCCACTCTGGAGAGAACCAGCCAGGGTCCCTGGAGAAGATCAGTCCCTCCTGAGGGAAACACTCCTCACAATGACTAATTTCTTCCCACTAGGCCACACTTCTTACAGGTCCTACCACTCCCCTCCCCAGGCCCAGGCCGAAGCACACACCTCTGGAGACTCCAGCCTATCCGAACTATAGGTTACCATGCTTGTTTGGGGGGCTGAAGAGTGGACCTGGGCCCTCACCCATCATAGGCAAGAGCCCCACCGCTGAGTCATAGCGCCTGCTCTTACTCCTGCAATCTCAGTACCTGGGAGGTAGAGGCAGGAAAATTAGGAGTTCAAAGCTGACCTTGGCTACATAGCAAGTTTTGAGAACAGCCTGGATTACATGAAACTCAAAAAAGGGGCTATTTAGCCGAGGCCTCTTGAGGCCTGGTATTATACACAGGTAAAAATACATAGCCACGTGAAGCATCTACTTCATTGAATTTATTTATTTTGGTTTTTCAAGACAGGGTTTCTGTGTAGTCATGTCTGTCCTAGAACTGGCTCTGCAGGCTAGACTAGCCTGGAACTCACAGAGATCTGACTGCCTCTGTCTCCCCAGTGCTGGGATTAAAGGCATATACTGATATCACCAGCTTATTTTTTTATTAATTTTAAAATGCATTACATTTTAAAATTTTGTTTTGTGTAAATGTGTAGTGCACACATGACATGGCCCACTTGTGGAGGTGATGGGACAACTTTATGTAATGGGTAATTAACATAAAAGAGGAGAAACCCTATCTCAGGAAAAACAAACAAACAAAACCCAATGAAAACAGTTATCCTTTTTTTGACTAAGTCCATATCGTATTAGACATGACTTATTCATCCCCCAAACCCTCTTTCCAGTGATGGGGACTGGCGGTGAGCGGGGACCACCTTTTTTCTCCAGCAGATACTGGGGGCCATGGAGTCTCAGGTTGGGGGGGGGCCGGCCGGCCCGGCCCTGCCCAACGGGCCACTCCTTGGGACAAACGGAGCCACTGATGACAGCAAGACCAACCTCATCGTCAACTACCTACCCCAGAACATGACACAGGACGAGTTCAAGAGTCTCTTCGGCAGCATTGGCGACATCGAGTCCTGCAAGTTGGTTCGGGATAAGATCACAGGTGTGGCTCTTTCCGAGTGGCCTCGGGTGGCAAGCAGGGAGGAAGTGCCCTTGGAAAAACAAGTATGACCTGGGGGGCACCTCAGGATGGGTGGAGCCAAGTGGCTTTCTGGGGACCACTTTATCATGGGAAGGATAAATCAAAGCTGCAGCATGGCCAGGTGTGTTGGGGACCCTGGGCAGATTAGGGAAGTCACTCTTTTGGTCTTCCCACAGGGCAGAGCCTGGGCTATGGGTTTGTGAACTATTCTGACCCCAATGATGCAGACAAAGCCATCAACACCCTCAACGGCCTCAAATTGCAGACAAAGACCATCAAGGTGAGTGCCCCCACCTGTGTGACACAGGACCCTCACTGCCACCGTTCCCTCTACTCCTGACTGGTCTCTCTTCCTGACTGGTCACCTGGCTTTATTTCTCTGAGCTGAGCCTGGCCCCACCCATCAGTGTGGGAGATCACTGTGTCTTTATTTTACTATTCTGGTTTGTGTATGCATGGGTATATGTGTGCCACTGTATGTGGGGACTAGAGCAAGAGTGTGGGAATTGGCTTTCTCCTTTCACCATGACCAAAATCAGATGGTCCCTCAGCCTTGGGGCCAGTAGTCTTTACCAGTTGAGCTATTACTCCCTGGCTGGAGACTAGCGACCAACAGTAAGTCCCATGTTCTTTGGAAGACTTAGGGAGTCTGCCAGGTCCAGGAGGTGGGACAGAGTGACCAGAACCTCAAGGGCAGACCCCTCCCTCTCTTTGTCCTAGAAAAAGGGTGTGGCCCATGTGCCATCTGGAATCTAATCAGGGACTGGGGAGGGGAAGGGATGAGGGCCCCTCCTCCACCTTTGTGCATTGCCCCTCCCCCATGGCCTCCCTTCTCAGCAGCTGCGGCTGGGACCATGTGAGCCCAAGTTCCCTTGGGAAGAATCACCATGGAAACCCCCCTCTCTGAGTTGGCCTGGGGGTGTTTGGGCTCCTCCCTTCAAATATGCTCCAGGACCCCTGGGGAGGCCAGGCTGAGGGTGCCCATCTGGCCCCCAGTTTATCATGGGAACAGAAGCATAGGAATCTTTTCCTCTCCCCAGAGTGGGGGAAGGGAGAAAATGGTACCACTGGATGAGTCTGTCTATGGTCAGCTTGACCCAGAAGCCCAGGGGCATGAGGGTCGATAAACCTGCAGGGTAAGTAGGTCTGCAGGTGTGTGCAAGGCAGTGGACCGTGACTCTGTGGTTGTGGGACAGTGTCCTACGCAGGTGACTGTGTGAGATGGGTCTGGATGATTGAGGTGTGAGGTATAGGGCTGGGAGTGTGGCTCGATGGTAGAGTCCTTACCCAGCCTGAGTTCCATCTACAGCACAGATAGGAACAAGTGAGTGGCTGGGGAAGGGCCTGGAGAGACAGCTCGGCTGTTTGCATTGCCTTGAAGACCTAAATTTGATTCTCAGAACTCTAATAAACAACCCGGGCATATAAAGCCAGGCTTGGTGGCACACAACTTTAATCCCAGACTCGGGAAGTAGAAGCAGGCGGATCTTTGTGAGTTGGGGCCAACCTGATCTATGCAGCAAGTTCCAGGTCAACCAGAGCTATATAGTGGGACCCAAAGAAGGAGGAGGAGGTGGGGGGCAGATTTCTCAGTGCTGAAAGGTGAGGCAGGTTGATCCCCGGCATTCTATCTCAAAACTGGACAGCTCCTAACGACTCATAGGTTGGCCCTGGCCTACCCAGGCACACATACTCATGCACAAGATTTGAGGACTAGGGTTCAGTTTCTGCAAGTAGCACTTACCCAGCATGCACGAGGGCCTGGCCTGGCTCTCTAGCACTACATACACTGGGCCTGGTGGCACAAGCCTGTGATCCCAGCATTCTAGACGTCTCAGCAAAAAGATCAGAAGCTCAATATCATCGCGGTTTCACAGCAAGCCTGGGCGACACGAGACCATCTCAAAAACAGACAGCAGCAGCAACAGACAAAATGACTATGAGCGTGTAGAACCTGGTGTTAATGTGACATGTGCTTTGTGACACTACAATTCCTGTTGTGGCTTCCAGGGTACACTAGGGGATGTGTCTGGTGCAACAAGATATTTGTGTGACTTAGAGTGTGTGTGTGTGTGTGTGTGTGTGTGTGTGTGTGTGTGTGTGTGTGTGTGTGTGTGTGTGAGAGCCTGTGCCAGGTTTGTAGGCTGCGCTGCGGGGTTGGTACATGGTCAGCAAGTAATGGTTTTCTTACTGTAGTTCTGGAGACTCAATAGTATGAACATGACAGTGACTTTATAAGACACCCTCTAGCTAGTTTTGTCACCAAAGCTGTGCAGTGGGTGGATTTCTGTCCTGTGATTATTCTGGTCAGGCCTGAATGTTGCCCTGGCAGATTTGGGCAAAAATGATTTCAACTACTTGGATGCCCCAGGTCCCATCCCGGTGCGAGGTACATGAAAAGACAGCTACATCACCAAGGCCACCCCAGCATGAGTGACATCTCACAAAGCTGGGAACCTGGAGCTCACCACACAGCCTGCAGGCAGCTGCACAGGGTGGAGCGTGTCCTTTCCAGGGGCCCAGGTGGCTTAAACTAACTCCAGGCAGCTCGGCTGGTCCCTGCTTCTCCCAGGCAGCTGGTCTGGCCTCAGAGTCTCCTTTGCAGTTCTGTTCTGCAAGTCTCAGAGGAACTCTCAGCTCTTATAGGTTACTCTGGCAGGGAGGGACCTGCTGAATCGGATTAGTTTCAGGGACTTCCTGAAGCTAGTCTGAGTTACTTACCTCCCCTCGGGATGGACAGTTTCAATCTTGAAGGAAAACTGTTACCACATGTATAAGGTGCTTGCTGCAAGCACCAGGCCCTAAATCCAAATTCCCAGAACTCATGTGAAGACACACCTGCTTGTGGGCACCTTTAGGAAGTGGAGACAGGAGAGTCTCTGTACGCTTACCAGCCAAATGTGCTGCTGTCTGCAGCGGCACACCGGAGACCGAGGGGGGGAAAGTGAGGGCTAGCACTGCGGCTGTCCCTTCTCTCACACACGGCAGCATTTCCCGTACATAGCTCCACGCAGAGGCATAAGAAACATATGGAGATCTACTGTGCCTTACATGACCTGAGACCTAAGATGCCACCCCTAGCTGGGTGCAGTGGCACAGACTTGTAATTTCATCACTCCAGGCTGAGGCAGGGGTGGAGGGTGGGGGATGGGGCGGGGGGTGGGAGGGTTGCTGTGACTTCCAAGCTCTCATCCCCGAACTCTGGATCTCTGTGAGCAGCAGGCCCTGGGTACAGAGTGCCCCAGACCACCCACCCCCGGGCTATATAGTGAGACCCATATCTCATAAACAATAACAACAACAAACAGAACTGTCAAAGCCGTCACAGCCCAATGGGTTAGGAATCCTCAACACTTGGCTGCAATATTTATTTATTTATTTATTGTGTGTGTGTGTGCGTGTGTGTGTGTGTGTGTGTGTGTGTGTGTGTGTGTGTGTGTGTGTGTGTAGGATGTTTTTGAGACAGGCTCTCAGTCTCTCACTACATAACTTCAGGTGGAACATGCCATGTAGACCGAACAGGTCTGAAATTCACAGGAAGCTGTGCCTGCTTCCGCCTCCAGAGTGCTGGGATGACAGGATTGGACATAGGTAGAGAAGATGGAGGTGGTTTCCTGCTTGCTCCCTTTTAAAAGCTGTACTACATTTACTCATGTTTGTGTGTGTGTGGAAGCCCACTTTGGGAGTAAGTTCTGTCCTTCCACCCTGTGAGTCTGAGAGATCAAATTCGGGTCATTAGACCTGGTGGCAAGCGTCTTTCACTCCATCTCAAAAGCCCTGATTCCCTACGGCTCCACAGTGCACCTCCCCAAACTAACGCCAGACCTGGAACAATGGTCCCTATCTACCCCAGATTTAGAGGTTTGAATAGAAGCAGCAGAAAGCAGACCTCAGCAGAAGGGAGGGGGAGGGGTCCTCACCACCCTCCCTCCACAGACACTGGTCTCCCCATTGACACTTGTGGGCGGGGCCTCTGCGCTGAATCTCCAGGACATTGATAAAGACACAATGAGCTGGGGTTCCATAATACTCCATAAACAGACTTTTCTTTCCCCACTTCACAATACTCCCAGTGTCTGCTGTGAAAGTCTGAGTCTCCGACCTGTGAGCAGCTGCAGAGTTGGTGAGATGCGTCCTTTTAACGGCACAAAGGGAATGAATGACCTTGCCGAAGTGTATGCAACTCACAAGCCAGAAAAAAGCACCTTGAGTTAGGGTGATAGCAGGGCCAGTGAGAGGGCCCAGTGGGTTGAAAGGAGCTTGCTGCCAAACCTGATTATTTGAGTTTGATCGCTGAGTTTCACGGGATACCAGGTTAGAACTAACACGCACCAGATGTCCTGTGACCTACACTCACGCACACGCACGCACATTTGGGTTGGGTAGATGGCTCACAGGAGAAAGGGGCAGAGAACCATCTTCCTAAGCAGGTAGGTCTCTGACCTCTGCAATTAAGCATGGCACATGCACACACTTGTGCACATGCAAATGTAATTTAGAGCTGTTTTCATTTTTCAGGACTCAAGAGATAGCTTAGCAGTTAAGAGCACTGGTTGATCTGCCAGGAAACCAAGGTTCAATTCCCAGTGCCCACGAGTCTGCCACAACTGTCTGTAACTTAGTTCCAGGGAAGCCAGTGCCCTCTTCTGACCCCTGTGGGTACTGCATACACACAATGGACACCCACACCTATAGGCAAAACACTCACACACATAAAATAAAAATAAACAACGGGCAGTGGCCGGGCGCACGCCTTTAATCCCAGCACTGCCAGGGCAGAGGCAGGCGGATCTCTGTGAATTCCAGGCCAGCCTTGTCCACAGAGTAAGTTCCAGGACATGCACATAGAAACCCTATCTCAAAAAACCAATAACAACCAATAAAAAACAATGATAATACAAAAAATGATAATAATAATAATGCAAAATAAACCTTTTTAAAAAGTTACAATTTTTGAGCCGGGCGTTGGTGGCGCACACCTTTAATCCCAGCACTCGGGAGGCAGAGGCAGGCGGATCTCTGTGAGTTCGAGGCCAGCCTGGTCTACCGAGTGAGTTCCAGGACAGCCTCCAAAGCCACAGAGAAACCCTGTCTCGAAAAAACAAAACAAAAAAAAAGTTACAATTTTTGAGCTGGATATGCTGGTGCTTACCTTTAAATTCCAGTACCGGGAGGCAGAGGCAGGTGGGTCTCTGATCTTGATTGAGGTTAGCCTGGTCTACAAAGTGTGTTCCAGGACAGCCATAGCTACACAGTGAGACCCTGTCTCAAAAAAGAAAAAAAAAGTAAAATGTTAAAAATTTTGGACAGGAGCTTCACCTTTAATCCCAGCACTTGGGAGGCAGGTGGAACTCTGTGAGTTCGAGACCAGCCTGGTCTACAAGAGCTAGTTCCAGGACAGCCTCCAAAGCCACAGAGAGAAACACTGCCTCAAACCTCCCCCCCAAAAATTTTTTTGGACAGGGTCTCTATGTAGCCCTGGCTGTCCTGGCCTCAAACTCACAGAGACCTACCTGCTTCTCAAGTGCTGACACTGAGACTTGTGCTACCATATTTGGTAACTTTTACTTTAGCTTTAAGGCAGAGGAAGGAAGGAAGGAGCCATGGAGAATTCTGTGGGGAAGAAACTGGCTTTAGTGTGCAGGGCACCATTTGACTGCTTCATAGAATGGGGTTTGAACTCGAGGCAGAGGTCAGAGACTGGTGGCTGTTCCATTCTGATTTTTTGTCTGAAATAGTCATTATCACCACCCCTTCTTTAGTTTTTGTTTGTTATTATGTATACAGGGTTCTGCCTGCGTGTATGCCTGCAGGCCAGAAGAGGGCACCAGATCTCACTACAGATGGCTGTGAGCCACCATGTGATTGCTGGGACTTGAACTCAGGACCTCTGGGACAGCTGTCAGCGCTCTTAACCTCTGAGCCATCTTTCTAGCCCTCCTCTTTAGTTTTAGTTACATTTTGAATTTTATTCTACATGTGTATGTGTGAATGGCACACAGAGCTCAGTTTAAACATTGTTTCACATGCTTGTGTGTGTATGGTGGGGGGGCTCTTAGACATGAGGATATGGAGGTCAGAGGACAACTTACAGGAGTTGTCTCTTCTTCCACCATGTATGACCAAGGACTGAACTTAAGTGGACAGACTTGGCGGCAAGCCCCTTTGCCTGCTAAGCCCTCCTGTGGGCCCTGCGTTTTTATTTTATTATTTGCTTTTTTTAAATTAACTTACTTTTTTACATCCCAATCCCAGTTCCCCTCCCTCCTCTCCTCCCCCTCCCTCCACTTCCCCCTCCCCACCTCCCATCTGCTCCATGGAGAGGGTAAGGCCTCCCCTAGGAAGTCAACTAAGTCTGTCCCATCATCTCGTTGAGGCAGGACCAAGGCCACTCTCCACCCCCACACCCGTGTCTAGGATGGGCAAGGTATCTCTCTATATAGATATTATTATTTTTAATACAAATGTAGAGTGGTAAAACATTCGTGGGATTTGGATCCTTTTGGCTTCAGTTTGTAAAGATTGCAAATAAGTCAGTTATGGTTTTCGGGGGAGACAGTTCCTGACCGCTTCACCTAAACACACCCCACCCCACAAGCTCTACCCTGTGTTTGCAACTTTGTGGGCTCAGCTCTCGTTCTGTACATGGTCTGGGAAGCCGGTGCGGTTCCTATGCAGGGAGGATGTTTCCCAGCTGAGCCCCTGCTGCCCCCTCCTTTGTTGTTTTGTTTTGTTTTGTTTTGTTTTGTTTTCTATGTTTTGTCTGAGACAAGGCCCTGGCTGTCCTGGAACTCACAGAGGTCCACTTGCCTCTGCCTCCTGAGTGCTGGGATTAAAGGTCTGCGGCACCACTCCTGCCTCTCCCAAACATTTTCTTTTCTTGAGACCCAGCACTGGGCGTGGCCCATAGGCTCAGACTGGCTGCCGGTGACGCCAGGGATTGCCCTGTGGCCCTTCCCAGAGCTGAGGTGACAAGCATGCAACAGAACATTGAGCTTATTTTTAGATAGAATTATTATTAATCCTCGAGCTGCTGCGTGGGTGTGGAGTCAAAGGATGCTTTGGGAGTCATTTCTTCCTTCCACCCTTAGTTCGCGGTAGCAAACCCACCCAGGCCACCACTTTTCACGGAGCCATGGCCAGGGCCTGCCCGCTTGTGTGTGTGTGTTTGTTGTTTATTGTGAGCACTGGGAATGGAACTCAGGTACTTCGTTTTGCACAGCAAGCCCTTCCAATGGGACCATCTCCCCAACTCCTGCTTTGTTCTTTGAGACAGGGTAAGATTTGGCCCAGGCCAGACCTGAGCTTACTATGTAGTGGAGTATGACTTAACTTCCGATCCTCCCACCTCCGTCCGCCGGGTCCTGGGATGACATTGTCCCTGTGGTGCTGAGGATGGAGCCCAAGCTTCTTGCATGATAGACAGGCAGTTCACCCACTGAACCCCAGCCCCAGCCTTGGGCGACTTGTGAAGTGAATTAGCTGGCTGTGGGGGCACTTCTGAGTCTCCTGGGTTCCCATGTGCCCTGCTGTCCTCTGGTCCCCTGCCTAGGTGTCCTATGCGCGCCCCAGCTCTGCCTCTATTCGGGATGCTAACCTCTACGTCAGCGGCCTCCCCAAGACCATGAGCCAGAAGGAGATGGAACAACTCTTCTCCCAGTACGGCCGCATCATCACTTCTAGAATCCTGCTGGACCAGGCCACAGGTCAGAATGTCAGGAAGAGAGGGTGCTCGGGCCAGGATGTCCCCGGGAGGGGAGAGTCACAGGAGAGGGTACAGAGTATCTGAGACCAATGCTCCACACTCCTGGCAGGTGTCTCTCGGGGTGTGGGATTCATCCGCTTTGACAAGAGGATCGAGGCGGAGGAGGCCATCAAGGGACTGAATGGACAGAAACCACTGGGTGCAGCTGAACCAATCACGGTCAAATTCGCAAACAACCCAAGTCAGAAGACGGGACAGGCCCTGCTCACCCACCTGTACCAGTCCTCTGCCCGGCGCTACGCGGGTCCCCTACATCATCAGACACAGCGCTTCCGGTGAGCCAGAGCTCCCAGACCCCCAACCAGGTGCCCAAGCCCGAAGCTGCTCTCCCTGAGCCTGTTTTCTTCAGGGTAGGGACCAAGGGATACCCACCAGCAGGAACATGAAAGGCCGTGTGCCAGTACATAGAGCAGGTGTTTGCCAGCCAATACGGCTGGCGGCGAAATGAAGTCCAGCTGTGGCTCTCTGTGTCTCTGTCTCTCTGTGTCTCTGTCTCTCTGTGTCTTTCGCTGTCTCTGTCTCTCTGTCTCTGTCTTTCGCTGTCTCTGTCTCTCTGTGTCTTTCGCTGTCTCTGTCTGTCTGTCTGTCTCTGTCTCTCTATGTCTCTATCTCTCTGTCTCTGTCCCTCTGGGTCTCTCTCTCTTTCTCTCTCAGACTCCCTGTGTCTTGGTCATGATGCCTATTGCTGGGATAAAGCACCATGACCAAAAACACTGTGAGAAGGAGTTTATTTCAACTTACAGCTAACAGCTCACCCTGAGGGCACGTTGGGGCAGGAACCTGGAGGCAAGAACTAAACCAGAGACCACGGATAAACCCTGCTTACTGGCCGATTTGCATAGGGGCGGCACCACCCACAGAGGGCTGCTCTCCCATGTCAATCAAGAAAATGCCCCCAGACTTGCCCACAGGCCAATGTGGTGGGAGCATTTTCACAGTTGAAGTTCTTCTTCCTAGATGACCCTAGTTGTGTCAAATTGACAAACAAACAAACAAAAACAAAAACAAAAAAGCCCACACTCCCCCAAATTAGAAAACACCCTGGACACCCTGTGCCCTAGTTTTCTCTGTATGTCTGTCCTGTCTTTTCTCCCCTATCTCTGTCTCTCTTTCTGTCAGCAGTCTCTCCTATGTTCTGTCGTAGGCTTTTTGTCTGTGTCTCTTTATCTCCATATCTCTGTGTCTGTCTCTCTGCTCCTGTGCATTTGTCTTTCTCTTCTTGTCTCTTTTTCTGTCTTTCTCTTTTTTCTCTTTCTCCCCCCTCGATTTCCTCGTGTGTAACACCACACCAAACATTTCCTCTCATGTATATAGTGTGCTGGCCATGATCATATTCCCTGCGTGGTAACCAGGTAGAACAGAGCTTGTACTGTGCCATTTACTGAGATTTCTTCACCTGAGACAGAGAGCAGACGAGCCCAAAAGAAGGATCCTGGCCGCTCCAAGCAGGAGGTCAATGGGAGCTCCTGGTAGCTCAGGTGGCTGTGCGAGCTTCCCACCCTCCTGTGGGCTCAGGAAATAAACCCCAAGGCTGTACTGCCATGTTTGTAAGCCCTCCTCTTAAGCCAGAGCTCTCAGCCCCTGGGTCCTCTGGGTCCTCCCGGCCCACAGAGGCATCGGGAGAGCAGGACAAGATGGTTCTGGCGAGGCAGCAGCAGGACTGGCGAGAAGCAGCCCCGAATGAGTGAGGTTCCGTGCCAGGCAGTGTCCAGCAGGGCTGGGAGCGGGCGGCTGTGGGGGTGGGGAGAACTGGCTGTCGCATCGACAGAAGGTGGGTCACAGGCCACTCTGACAGCTGCTTCTGCCTCCACAGGCTGGACAATTTGCTCAACATGGCCTATGGAGTCAAAAGGTAACAGTGCTCCTGCCCCACAGACCCTTCCCCACAACCCCCTTACCTTGATGGCCTCCTGTAACCCCTGCATGTCCCTTGTCCCCGGGACCCTTGGGTAACCCTCTCTGCCTGTGTCTAGGAGACGATAACCTCAAGACTAAGAGCAGAGCAGATGTCTAGGGTGGCTGGCTACAGGAGGTGAAGCATGGAGAGCTGTCTGTAGCTCTCACACTTTCTTATCATCTCAACAAAAGTAGGGTGCAGTTGTGCCCCCCACATGAACCCTGACTAACTATTGTTTTGTGTGCTAGGAATGGGACCCTGGGACTTCTGCATGCTAGGCTTGCACTAAGCCGTGCCCCCAGGCCCTCACTGGGGGACTCAAGGCAGGGGCTCAATAGCCAAGCCATTCCTAAGCCCCATCCAGCAGCTACCATTGTTGGTTTTGTCTACGACCATGGAAGGTTCCCTTTCCTCCCCACAGTGGCTATAAACCTGGAAGTCGTCCTAGCTTTATTCACATGCCTGCTCTTGTGAAAGTCTCCATGTTTACTGTGTCACAAGCTGTTGGGAACATGTTGAATATCAAAAGCTTGGCTTGAGGCCAAGGATATAGCACACCGCAGGCAGACTTGCTCTCTCTTGGACATGAACTCGAGACAGAACACAGTGCGTGGTGCATGATAAAAGGTGGCCGAGTACGAATACTGTCACCGACGTTCATGTTCTCAGTCCACAGGAAGGAGATGTGAGTGAGGGTGGTCAGGGCAGGGCAGGGGCAGCATAAGGGTCACATGATGGTGGCCAGAAGAGGCCTGGTCCTTCTGTGCAGAGGCCTGGAGGGCACCGGACAGCAGAGACAGCTGGTGCACGGGCTCGGAGGAGGGAGGAGCTGAGGCCGCATGGTCAAGGTTAAGGGATCCCGACTCTCAGAGTCTTGTCCTTAAATCAAGTGACTTAATCCTGAGGGTGAGGAAGCAGTGGCTTTCTAGCCTTTAATCGTCAACAAACAACCTACTAAGCGTCACCTGAGAGGTAAGACATCCCAGGGAACAATGTCAGGAACATGATGGTAACATGAAACACGGTTGTTCTTCTTACATATTAGGGACACATCCCAAGACTCCTTGTGGATGCCTGAGACTGGCATGGAAACCTCTATATATTTTATTTACTTAAATTTCTACCTATTTATTTATGTGATTTTTTGTTTGTTTCTGAGGCAACGTTTCTCTGTGTAACCTGATGTCCTGGAACTTGCTCTGTAGACCAGGCTGGCCTTGAACTCACAATCTACCTGCCTCTGCCTCCCGAGTGCTGAGATTAAAGGCATGTGCCACTGGCCCTGGTTCATTTATTTTTATTATTATTATTTTGTACTGGAGAGGAAACTGAAGTCTTGTGAATGAGCACTGCACCCACTGAGTTACACACCCAGCCCTCCTTATGTTTCTTGACACGGGGGCTCACGTGGTGTGTGCAGACCAACAGCTCTGAGCTGAGCAGGTCCTTGAACTCCTGCTCCTTTCGCCTCTCCCTCCTGAGCGTGGGGTGGCAGGTGTGTTGAGTTTATCTTCTTACTTTTTACTTTGAGCTTGTGACTCTCCTGCCTCAGCATACTAGGGCGGCAAGCCAGCACCACCAAGCGGCTTCTTCATAATTTCACAGATAGAGTTGTCCTTTTCTTAGGTAGCAGCAGCTTTACTAGTGACCTCAGCATATGATCCCCTCTTTTCCACATGGGAAGAGCTTTCACCTTCTCCCTGAAAGAAAACCTTTTTACAAGTTTCTCTCAGGCATCTCTAAATCACCAGCATTAACCGTTAATCAATTACAATAAGGGTTCCTTAACACAGAAACTACGATTTTAGATAGTCAGTCTGATAATATGACAACATTTTAGACAGTCAGTCTGATAATATGACAACATTTTAGACAGTCAGTCTGATAGTATGACAACAAAGTAGCTAATGGGAGTGTAGCATATACTGCATGGACACACTTGCCGAACTGTGGCATTTCATCCTGCTACTCGAAACAGTGTAGTCTTTCCTTTTGTTCTCCTTATGTTTCCTTTTCTTATTTCTTCTTCTTCTTCCGCCTCCTCCTACCCTCTCCTTCCTCTCCCCATCCCTTTCTTCTTCTACATAGGGTTTTACTATGTAGCTGGCTGGCCTTGAACTCACAGAAATCTCTCCATCTCTGCCTCTGGTGCTGGATTAAAGATGTGTGCCACCACACAAGGATTTTTTGCTTCTTTGTTTGGTTTGGGGTTTCGTTTTAAGACAGTGTCTCATGTATCCCAGGCTGACTTCAAGCTTGAGGTGTAGATGATGATGATGTTGAACCCCTCATCCTGCTGTTTCCACCGCCCTAGTGCTAGATTGACACAGCTGAGCGACTGAGTACGTCATGCTTGACTTCTTCGTGAAGCAGGAGCAGGGCCAGTCAGGGGCTGGGGACTGACTTCAGATCCCCAGCATCATATGAAGCCCAGGAATGGCAGTGGGCGTCTGTAGTCCCAGATGGGGCAGAGGCAGGAGGATCCAAGGGGTGGGGGAGGGGCACAGAGGAAGACAGAGACAAGAGAGACTGATTTAACAAGAAAGGCTGTCTTGAGTTAAAGCTGGAACAGACCCAACAGTCCAAGTATTGAAGTAAGTTTTTGCTATGTGACCTTAGCCTTCCAAGAGCAAGAATGACAGTCCCGAGCCACCTCGATGTGTGCAACTTAACAAGATGGCTCAGAGGGCAAAGGGGCTGCCACACAAGCCTGACCACCTAAGTTCAATGCCCCAAACCCACACAGAAGTGAGAGGAGAAAGCACTCTGACCACACGTGTCATGGCATGTGTGCTCCCTTCCTGCCACACGCACACACAATAACTGATAATTCAACAAAACATATTAAAACGTCTTTATGTTTGTGTACTTCCTGATCTTCATAACTCTGAAGGCAGATTCAGGAAGATCACAAGTTAGAGGTTAGCCTGGGCTATGTGGTGAGACCCAGTCTCAAAAAGCCAAAACATGAGCTGGAGAGATGGCCCGGTGGTTAAGAGCACTGTTGCAGAGGACCGGGCTCAGTTCCCAGCACCCACACAGTGGCACAGCCATCTGTCACTCCAGCTCCAAGGCTACTGCAGGCCACAGACGCGTGTGTCCCACATACACATGCACAGGCAAACACACATAAAAATGAAATCCAAACTGAGCATGGGGACACATGTCTAGGGAAGCTCTCTGAAGGCCAGCCTGATCTACATAGTGAGTTCCAGGACAGCTAGAACTACACAGAGGAGCCCTGCCTCAAAAACAAAAACAAACAAATAAATCTAAACAATATTTTTTAGAAAGCCAAAACAAACAAATAAACAAAACCCCAACCAAACCAATCAGTGAATTGCCTATTTTTGGAGATTTCCCTTTAATATGCTCAAACCAAAGGCAATGACCACAGGTCATTGAAACCAGAGAAAAAGAGAAACTTTGAGGCAGGAGGGTGCTATTTGTGATTTGGGTGAGAAGAGACCAGAAAGACAGACAGGCGAGGCCACGTTTAGTTCAGAGGATGGTGCTGGAATGCTGCCCTCGGAGGGCGACCTGTACTGCTCTCTCCTAGGGCCAGTTTCCACCCACACAGAGAGTTGAAATGGAGTCAGAGTCAGGGCAGATTAGCACCAGGACAGGTCAGACCTGGGTTCAAAAAGAACTAGAGGAAGAGGAGCCCCAGAGACTGAGACAAGAACAGCATCCAGTTCAAGGTCAGCGAGGGAGGGCACAGAAGAGGCAGTCTCTCTCTCTCTCTCTCTCTCTCCCTCTCTCTGTCTCCCTCTCTCTGTCTCCCTCCCTCCCTCTCTCTCTCCCTCTCTCTCTCCCTCCCTCTCTCTCCCTCCCTCTCTCTGTCTCCCTCTCTCTCTCCCTCTCTCTCTATCTCCCTCCCTCCCTCTCTCTCTCCCTCTCTCTCTCCCTCCCTCTCTCTCCCTCCCTCTCTCTGTCTCTGTCTCTCTCACACACACACACACACACCCCAAAGCTGGTTTTGAAGGGGTGGGGGGAGAGTGTTTGCCCGGCACGCACAGTCTTGGGTTCCACCCCAGCCCTGCGTCAGCCAGGTGTGCAATGCCAGCATTCGGGAGGTAGAGGCAGGGGACGCAGAAGTGCGGGATCCAAGGGCAAAAAGCAAGAACCCACCCGTGGCTACAGTGAGTTCAAAGCCAGCTGGGCCACACAGAAAAGAAGTTGAGAAGGGTCCCTACAGAAGATCAACAGGGCTGAGGACCAGGTAGGGTCAAAGGTTGTGAGATCAGGATAAAGATGACACCTTGGGACAGGATCACAGGTGATATTTGGAGAGATTTGGAGGTCAAGAAAGTTTGCTGGTCAGGGGCTGGTGTCTTGGTAAGGTCAGAAACAGGTAATGGGGTCGTAGCTAGATCAGGATGCTACAAGGGACATACGTAGTACACAGTATAGGGTTCTCCCAGTGGGGGAGTCGGAAGCATGCTGGGGATCAGGGCAGAGCCCGCGTGACCCCCAAAGTAGTCCCCTGTCGCTCATCGCCAGGTTCTCCCCAATCGCCATCGATGGCATGAGTGGCCTGGCAGGCGTGGGCTTGTCCGGAGGCGCTGCAGGCGCTGGCTGGTGCATCTTCGTGTACAACCTGTCCCCGGAAGCTGATGAGAGCGTGCTGTGGCAGCTTTTCGGACCCTTTGGGGCGGTCACCAACGTCAAGGTCATCCGAGATTTCACCACCAACAAGTGCAAGGGTTTCGGCTTTGTCACCATGACCAACTACGACGAGGCAGCCATGGCCATCGCCAGCCTGAACGGCTATCGCCTGGGCGAGCGCGTGCTGCAGGTGTCCTTCAAGACCAGCAAGCAGCACAAAGCCTGAGCGTTCACCGCCCTCCCTCCCGGGCAGCAGAGAGAGAGAGAGAGAGAGGGAGAGAGAGAGAGAGAGAGAAAGAGAGAGGGAGAGAGAGAGAGAGGGAGAAAGAGAGAGAGAGAGAAAGCGTGATCGCAAGAGCAGGAAGACCCACACGCCTGCAAAAACCACCACAGGGTGAGCATTGGGATGGGGAGGGGCCTGCAGGGAATAGAGGGGAAGGGGTCCCCCACCTTGTCCTCCCTGCTTCCCCCACCAGCTGGGGCTTGTTCACTCTCTCGTCTTGGTTTGGTTCATGGTGATGGCTTTTGTTTCTTTTTTCGGCTAAAACAAAAAGAAGAAAGCAGAGAGGAGACCCCCCCATCCCTCCTCACCCTCACCACCCTGCATGGGATGGCTTAGGGGACACTGCAGTGCCCACCCAGGCCTCCCTTGCCCAGGCCTGTCCTATCCCGAGAGAAAGGGGAGGGAACAGGTTTAAAAATCCCCACAACAGCAAAAAACATGAAAGAGGGGTGTGGGTATCCCCATCCCCTGCCCCAGTCCCTGGGCAGAAAACAGGGAGCAGGATTGGGGCAGGGCAGGAAGCAGAAACAAAATGAAAAAAAAGGGTGGGGTGGGGCGGGGTGGGGGGAGAAAAACTCTATTTTTGTAAAAAGGGAAAAAGACCTCGTGGAGAATTTTTACTGGGGATTCTTGAACTTGAAAAAAAAATCACAAAAGACAAAAAAAAAAAAAAAGAAACTATTTTGGCAAGTTATGTTTACCAACTAACTGGGGCAGGGGGTGCAGGGAACAGGGCTGAGGGGTTGAAAGTCCATAGGGCCACCAGTACACACACACACTCACACACACACACACACACACACACACACACACACACACACACACACGAGTCACAAGAAGACAGAAGGGACGTACACTTGGACCTTGGAGACACAGATACACAACACATACAGAAACATTTCAGGATACATTCAGGAAGGTTGATCAAACCCACACCAAAGGATGGAGACACAGGGACAGAATCTTGGGGCTGCATAAACATAGATACAGACATTGGCTTCTTGTCCACAAAGCCATGTGATGTGTGAAAGCCACTGTGACAGATCCGTTTGGATGTAGGAATCTAGACACAAGTTCCCAAGGAGAGCTGGGGATGTCGCTTGGTTGGTGGAGGGCTTGTACAGCTTGCAGGAAGCCTGGGCTCGTCCCCACACTGCATAAACCTGCTGTGGTGGTACACAGCCCTCATTCATCCTAGAGGAAGAGGTAGATCAGGTCAAGACTAGCCTTGGCTACATAGTGAGTTTGAGGTCAGCCTGGGCTACATAAGACCCTGTCTCAAAACACAAAAACAAAAACAAACAGGTCACCTAGAAACACACAACACCTAGGGACAAACATTTGTGTTCAGAGCATCCTAAAGGCCCAGACAGGACGTTCCCACTGGAGACCCTGACCCAGTTACTTCCTCCAGCCAGGCTGGTCCAGCCACTTCTCCCTGGGCCCCCAATTTGCCCCAGCCCCAGGTTCTCTGCACAGACTCCTTAGGCCACCCTGCTGCCCACCACACAGGTGTACACACATGGCGTCCATGCATCCAAACACACGATACCTCGTTCTTCTTTGGCATCACCGTGGGCTGGAGGGGGCTCTCACTCCCCACAACACTGAGGCCAAAGGACCCCTGCCCCTGGGGCTCATCCTCCCTGGGTCCACGGAGAGGTCTGCAGTCTCCTCCTTCAACTAGGGCCAGCGTGCTCCCCACCACAGCAAGCACCCACCATACCAACCCCAGACCCAGGGGTGCATGGGCCCAAGGTGTCCCCCTACACCCTCCCCATCAACGTGTCACCCTCTTTGGGTTGTTGGGTTTTTTCGTCTTTCCAGACTGTGGGGGAACCATGGATACAGCCTTCATGAGCCCTGGCCCTGGCTTCTGACTGGATTTTGCATCCATAAACCCACATTCTGACTTTTTATTCTTTTATGCAAGTTCCAGCAGAAGCCACAGGCTGGAGCCCCTGGGAGCCCTAAACCTTCAACCCACCCCTCAGTGGGCCCAGTCACAACTGAGAACCGTGGAGCCCTGCCCCTCACTCTACACCCTAGTTCTAGTTGCTTTCTTCTGGTGTCCTCCGTTTGGTGTCTGGCCACGGCCCCATTTGAGCGTCCGACTCTCTCTCCCCACCCCTCCTGGTGTTGTTCTTAACCGTCTGTGGAGTTTCTGCTGCAAGGAACAAAAAGAAAAAAAAACTTAAAAAAAGACCAAAAAATAAAAAATGAAAAAAAAAAAGAAAGAAAACTCAAACAGAAGATGAAATATAGTAACAGGAAAGAAAGAAAAAAAGACAAACACACACACACAAAGACGACTTAAAAAAAAAAAAGGAAAAAAAAAAGACAAACTGTCACCAGTTAACTTTCTTGTACTTTTTTGCTGAATTTAGCTTCATGTAGTTTTAACTTATTGCTATGTTAACTATTTATTACCCTTGTTGGCCTGTAAGGACCTTTGTGTATATTTCTGTTCTTTCATTGGTTTGCAAGTTGAAGGAAGATGTTCCTTTTCTTTCAGTTTTGCTGAGATGTGGTTATGCCTAATTTATTTATAAAAAGGGGAAGTGGAGTCATTAAAGTAATAATTATTAATAACAGTAATGGTAGCGGAGTGCCCCCCGGGGGTACCGTGGGCTCCAAGGGGTGGGGTCCCCACAGCTGTCGGTGCCCAGGGGCTCTCAACGGGATTGTTTTGCTATTGTCTTGAGAAGTTTTTCTGTCTATTTAGCTGGTGAACTCTAGCTTGCTCACGATACACCGAACCTATTTATTCTGGTGGTTTCTAAGTCTGCCCTAATCCTCCCCCTTCCCTCCCAGCAGGACAGGGACTCCCCGCCTCCAGGAGGGGCCGACCCCTTCTTTCCCTGCTGTTTCTGGGGTCTCCCCCTGTCCTCCACACATGCTGGAGGCAACGAGCAATAAGGGCTGGGTTTGTTCCCCACCCTGGGGGGAGGGAGGGCTCTAAAGAGGGGGCCCCCTCCTCCCAACCCCTCCCACCAAGGCCTAGGTCCCTGCTGCCCCTAAGACTAGGAGGAGGGGACTTTTTTTTCTAAGACACAAGCTTAGCCCAGCCAGGCCCCCTCCCTGGAGGCCAGTTCCCCAAGAGGGCCAGGCCAAGGGCTCCCAGGGAGAGGGGCCCTTGGGTCTTCCGAAGTCCCTGGGGGCCAGGGGCAGGGCCAGTGGGGAGGGGCTCAGCCCCTCCAACCCTTCTTCATCCTGTTTATTGGGAAAGTTTCAAACCATGACAGAGTCCATGTTGGAGGTGATATAATGAACTGTAGAAAAACAAAAAACCAAACCTCAACCCAAACCCACGAACACTTCAAGTTGCGTTTAGACTATTTATTACCGAGATTCCAGGCCTGGCCGCGGTAACTGACTTTTACATGGAATTGTTTAATTATTTGTACTTTTCATGCCAGAAAATAAAAAGTTCAGAATCTTAAGTCTCAGGTGATTTGTGTGCCCCTGTGGGCAGGGGTGATAGGTCCCTGTGCTGGGAACCCAGGGAAGGGTACCATCTCTCCTTGGGCTGGGGTCTCTAATGCTAGGGGAGGCTCCAGAAGTCGACAATAACCTGCTATCTACCAACTGCTAGGTGCTAGGCGTCTTCCCCATTAGCTGGACTGTGGTGTCGCAAGGATCTGCACGTAGCTGCTTCCCGACACCGTTCAAGGGTACAGTCCGTCATGGCAGGAGCCCGAGGCTGCTGCAGGGCTTAGGGTACATGCCACCAAGCCTGACCTCAGCCAGAAGCCTGTCTCCTGGGCACTCCAGATCCTGTCAACAGCAGTGCCCACCACCCACACACCTGCTTCTGCTCACACTGTCCCATGCCTTGGGAGACTGAGGCAGGAGATAATCTAAGGCTAGCCTGGGCTATACCAACAGGGGAAACAGGGCACACACAACACATGGCCAATGTGGGTGAGTCACATTTATTGTTCTGAGGTCACACACATCAAGTCATCCATTCATCTCCCACCAGCTGGGGAGGCAGGGGTGAGGTGGGGCGGGGATTAACTCCCACCCAGAAATCCAAGGAAGGTGAGCTCCTTTATCCATCTCTGGAGGCCGCTGGGGCCTCAGGAACATGGATGACTCGGCTAGCCTGGGCCAGAAGCAGGGCTTAGAGCCCCACAGGGTTCCTGCTACCCGGAGGACAGCCAGGGATCCCGGGGTGGGCAGGCTTTGGTCCACAGACTGCAGGGTGAGTCTCAGGCCTTGAGGTTCTAGGATAGAGGGCAGAATTAGAAACACAGAGGGGCTGGGTTAGTGCAAAAGGAAGCGTGCAGGAGGCCCTAGAGTCCACCCCAGCCCTAGAAAACTACAACTGCCTGGCTAGCAAAGAAAGCCCTGGCGGTTAGCACAGAGGAAGCAGGACTGAAAAATGCTCAAGGCCAGTCTGAACTAGGCAACAAAACTGTCCCTTTTGTTTTTGAAGACAGGGTTTCTCTGTGTAGCCCAGGCTGTCCTAGAACTCACAGAGATTCACCTGCCTCTGCCACCCGAGTGCTGGGATTAAAGGTGTGTGCACCACCACCTGGCAATAAAACTGTCTTAAGTATTTGGAAGGCAGAGGTAGGCAGGTCTGTGTAGATTTGAGGCCTACCTGGTTTATACAGTGAGTTCCAGAGAGTAAGGGCTGTGTAGAGAGAGACCCTGTGCCAAAAAAAACCAAACTCTAAGAAAACAAGGGCCTACCAAGATGATTCAATGGGGCCCACATAGTGGGGAAAAGAACTATCCTCCAAGTTGTCCTCTGCCCTTCACTCTAGTACAACACACACACACACACACACACACACACACACACACACACACACACACACACACACACACACAGAGTTAGGCCTTTCCTCCAGCACTTGGAAAGCACAGGCAGAGTCACTGAGTTGGAGGCCAGTCTGGCCTACCTAATAAGTTCCAGGACAGACAGCCAAACTACATAATGAGACCCTGCCTCAAAAATAAATGAATGAATGAATGAATAAATAAATAAATAAGGCAAAGTCAGACGCAAAGGATAGGAGAGCAGCAATGTCCAAACACTGGAGCAGAGACCCTGCCTCCTTACCAGGCTACAGCTCATCATGGTCTCCATCAGTGGGCACCTCTGGCGGCGGTTCTGGGCAGGCGGCTGGTGTCATCAGCTCCATGAGGTACTCACAGCGACTGGGCTCTGTGGTACTAGTCACCACAGTCTCTTTGCCACACAAGAGGCGCACCTGGGGACAGAAACAGAGAAGAAACGATGCTGGGCTGGGCTGGTCCCGTCCTGGCCTGAGTCCCCACAGCCCCAGGTCAGACACTCACTGTGGTGGAGCGGTTGGGGCCCTGCCAGCAGCCTGTTCCCTGCTCGTACTTCATGGCACTGAACTTGTCATGGTCGGGGCCAGCCCACGAGCCCCATGTGCTGTAGGAGAGAGCAAGGGTGCTGAGCACTGGTCTGTGGGTGGTTGGGGGCAGGATAAGGGCAACACACCTGGACCCACTCACCCAAGGTTGGTCGGAGAGCCCCCATGTTTGGGTTTCTGAGAGACCAGTTTGAAGGGGCAAAGTCGGTAGACGTACCTAAGGGTAGGGAGAACTGCTGAGTGACAGGACACGGGACCCGAGGCACCTCAAAGCCCTCCCCTGCCTCCTGAGTGTCTACGTACACAGGTGGCTCACTGGCCTTTAACGCCCACTGAGTCCTGGACTCTGCCTGTGTCCCCTTTTGAGACAGGGTTTCACGTAGCCTAGGCTGACCTCAAACACGTTGAAATAACTGAGCTTGGCCTTGAACGTAACAATCCTCCTTGCACTCACCTAAAGTATGGGCCCCTATGCCCAGTTTAATAGAGCCCAGTGATGAGATCACGGGTATGAGCTATCACCTCCTGTTTGTCCAGTGCCCTCCCCTGCACCCTTCCCCCAGCCCTCCCACCAGAGCCAGAATGTACTCATTAGTGGTGAGCTCGTAGCACTGGCTGTAGAGGTATGAGAATTCCCCATGGGGGCCGAAGTCAAAGGAGATCTCTTGTTCCAAACTCCTGGAAAAGCAGGTTCAACAGTGAAGGGGACAATGACACAGAGCACAGGAGGGCCCAGGGAAGGGACCAGGACACAGAGCGCACTGCATGGTTGTGCTTGGGCCCTGCAAGAGGCAGGCTGGCCCGCCCCCAGGAGCAGGTGGTGGACCGTGACCAGGTCAGAAGCGGCACGGGGGCCCATACCTGATGGACTCCTCCATCTCTTTCAAGGACCGCTCGGCTTCCTCAAACTTATTCCGGGCCTCCTGTGCAGCTGAGAGACAGGAGATGAGAGTGGGTCCCAGTTCCAGAGAAGACACAGACTGGGGCCCCACAGAGAATGTGACAACTGCATCTTCTGCTCTGGATTTGCCCCCAGGGATGGCCCTCTAGGCCTGACCAGCTGCGGTGAGCCTCCTCTGCTGCCTGGCTCTCTAGAGTACAGGGCCAGGACCCCTGGGGCCCAGCTGGTTCCCGGCCTGTTATGCGTGTTACAAACAAAGTGCAGCCCATGAGGAGGAGGACTCCTGGGGATGTGAACAGCAATTCCCAAGCAACCTAGGCACTGCGGGACAGGCAGCACACCTCTGTGCTAAGGGCAGACCTGCTCATGTCAGACGGGGCCTGGCTGTTGGACGGGGAAGCTGGACCCCTTCCCATCAGGTCCCCACTCACCATCGATGACAGCCTGTGTCTCCTCATCGTAAGGTGGCATCTTCTCATCCTCGATGGGGCTAGCTGGCTGTGGGGGCTGTAGAGGGGCTGGGGCCTCCTGGGGAGGTGGCAGGACCCAGTGAGCAGGCAGCCCCACTCACCCATCTGCCCACCATTCCCCCAACACAAACCTTGGGTTTCTCCCCCTGCACCTCCTCCTCCTCTTCTTCCTCCTCTTCCTCTTCTTCTGGCTCCTCTTCTTCCTCCTCCTCTGTGGGTGGCAACACCGGTGGGTGCTCCTCTTTGGGCTCGGTCTCATCCAGAGCAGACGGGGAAGGCTCCGTGGGCAGCACCTGGCAGACCCGGGATTGTGGAGGCCAATGCTGAGGACTTGGGGAGCAGCCTCATCTCAAGCTGGGGGACACTGATTCACACATCTGGGAGGGCTGGCCTCCATGGAGGAGGTGCCAGCACAGAAGATGGCTTTTGTGAGGGGCTGGGGTCAGGACCACTTCCCTTCCTTTTCCCACAGACCTCCGAGCGGTACTTGTCCCTGATGGCGGCCCAGACACGGTCATAGAAGGAAGTAGCATCAATTTGTGTGTCCCCACTGAGAAGGGCCTGCGCACATTGGGATGAGTCAGGATTAGGGCCCCCAGAAGCCTATATACCCTGCCCCATCTGCCCCCACTCACAACTAGGGACCAGGCCATACATAGCAGATGGGCCATGTACTATGGCCAAGAGGAACAGAACAGGCCTGAAGGAGGAACCAGGGGTTGTAAGGCAACATCGGGACAAGACAGACACAGAGGCACAGTGCCAGAGGATGCCACACCCTAAGCAAGGGTCCAGAAGGGGCAGGGAGGGACCGTTTGTGGTAGAGATGGTAGCGGGCAGAGGCAGGGATGGTAGGTAGAGAGACGACAGAATGGAAGCCTAAGGACAGCATGCATGGACTCCTACTTTGAGGCAAGAAGCAGAAGGTAACTGGGGTGAACAAGCATGGGAACAGGCTCTATGCTGCCCTGATACTAGTCAGGGTCCAACCAGGTGGCCAGCAATATATGGTCACACACTGGCCTGAATGGCCTCGCCTCAGGTCAGCAGGGAGCTCTTCACCAGAGCCGGCCTACCCTGCTCCTCTCACCCTGAATCCACTCTAGGCCAATGGTCTCTACAAGTGCCAGGCCGGGACAGGCTGCAGTACCTGGGCTTCCTCTGGGGATAGCACTGCGTCGCCGTCTGTGTCCAGCTCCGGGTGAGTCTGTAGCTCAGACATCGAGACCCTGAGGGAGTACAGACAAGGAGGGTGAGGCTCCTTTGGGACCTGAACCTGTGAGCATGAGAGCTGGGTTGGGAGGGCAGGGCCCAGTCACCTCCCACTCTCCCCTCTAAGAGACCTAACTCCAGAAGGACTCAAGGAAGAGTCGGAGGAGTGGCCTTAAGATGACGACACTACGCTCTACGCTCCCAAACCCTCTCTTCTTAAGATGACGACACTACGCTCTACGCTCCCAAACCCTCTTTTCTTAAGATGAAGACACTACGCTCTACACTCCCAAACCCTCTCTTCTTGAGATGACGACACTACACTCTACACTCCCAAACCCTCTTTTCTTAAGATGGCGACACTACGCTCTACACTCCCAAACCCTCTGTTCTTAAGATGACGACACTACGCTCTACACTCCCAAACCCTCTTAAGATGACGACACTACGCTCTACACTCCCAAACCCTCTGTTCTTGAGATGACGACACTACGCTCTACACTCCCAAACCCTCTTTTCTTAAGATGACGACACTACGCTCTACACTCCCAAACCCTCTTTTCTTGAGATGACGACACTACGCTCTACACTCCCAAACCCTCTCTTCTTAAGATGGCGACACTACGCTCTACACTCCCAAACCCTCTTTTCTTGACACATCAACTTCCATTCACTTCTGCCTTACGAGCCAGCACCTCCAAACCGCCGACTGCACGATGGCCACGTGTGTCAGCTCTCCCGCCTCCCCAGGCTCCGGACGCTGAGACAGGAGGGCTATAAGAGTGACACCAGCCTGGCTACTTGCCCTCAGTGAGCAGGGCAGTCACACTTACACCCCGTCCTTGTTGTCATCCAGTTCCTGGAAGGCACTGGCCGACAGCTCCTGTTCCCGCCGGACCTTGGCAGCGGCTTGCTGTTCTGTGGAGGTGGGCATTCTGTCACACTGTACCACAGGTGGCCAAATCCCATCACCCCCAAAACCCGCCCTCACTATACATGGAGTCCCTATGAGAGTAGTCTTACACTGAGGGCTGGGGACACAGTCCCGGCTGGATTTAACAGTCTGTGTCCTCTGGGAGGGAGGACAGATCCAGGAGCAGGATGAATAAGTGAGGGGCCCCCGAGATGGTTTGCTGCCAAGCCTGACAACCCGAGTTCAGTCCAAGCCCCATGTGATGGAGATGGGCGCTGACGCCTGCAGGTCGTCCTGACTTCACTGTGCACAGGTGTTCCCTCCCCACCCACCCTCAGATGTGAAACGAGGAACAGGTGAAGCCTAGGAGGTGGGGAGCTGAGCAGCTGGCAGACTAGCAGTGTTTTCCCTCACAGCGACCAGCACAATGCTCTCTGCTCAGAAGGCCCTGAGCAGTGTCGCAGCAGGGGCTGCCCTCTCGCTCCCTTCCACTCTTCACCTACCCACCTCCCTTTTCTTTCCTGACCAGGGGTCCAATGCACCCCAAGTTGGCCAACTCACTATGAAACCAAGGCTGACCTTGTTTTTTGTTTTTGTTTTTTTGCGGCAGGGTTTCACTAGGTAGCTCTGGCTGTGGACCAGTTTGACCTAGAACTTAAAGATCAACTGCTTGCTGAGATTTAATCCCACCAGAGTGCTGGGATTAAAGGCACACACATCTGGCTGGCCTTGAATTCTTAATCCACCTCCTAAAGGCTGGAACAATAGTCCCCAAGGCCGGGATCCTTCTTTATATTTTATTTCAGTTATTAGAGACAGGGTCTCACTATGTAGGCCAAGTTCATCTGGTACTTATAATTCTCCTGCCTTCACCTCCCAAGAGCTGCAATGGCAGGTGTTATGCCTGGTGGGACAAACAGAACTAAATCAAAGATCAAGGTGGGGGAGACGAACAGAAGAGTCTCCAGTCACCTTAGGAAGACGGCATCCACTCAGATAGGTCAAGTCAGAAAACACATGCACACATCTGAACTCGAGGCCCTGCCTAGAATGCCCAGTGACAGCCGGGCGTTGGTGGCGCACGCCTTCAATCCCAGCACTTGGGAGGCAGAGGCAGGCGGATCTCTGTGAGTTCGAGGCCAGCCTGGTTTACAGAGCTAGTTCCAGGACAGCCTCCAAAGCCACAGAGAAACCCTGTCTCGAAAAAACAAAAAACAAAAAACAAAAAACAAACAAACAAAAAAAAAAGAATGCCCAGTGACACCAGCAGACGGGTCAAGCCCGTGGAAGGCGCTGGATCCATTCCTATTACTGGGGGAGCGAGCTGCACATTGCTGAGAGGTCAAAGGTCTCAAACTTTCAACCAGGGATTGAGATTCCTGGAGGGAAGGTTCTAGGCACCACACAAAAGGAGAGAAGAAATCTTTAGAAAGGATCTTGCAGCCACGGTTACAAATTATTCCTAGAGTTCCCAAACCTGATGACCAATACAAAGTTAACTAAGCACACGAAGATGTGAGCAATCATGATAATAATTAAAAAACCAAACCCCAAGTTCATAAAATGGTGGGCACACCTTTAAAGTCTCTGCACTTGAGAGGCAGAGGCAAGTGGACTCTGTGAGTTCAGGGCCAGTCTGGTCTACATACTGAGTTCTAGACCACAACTCAAAACATAACAACAACAAAAAGCAAACAAATCAAAACACAGATAACCCAGGCATGGTGTATCCCTGTAACCCCAGCATCCAGCATAGAGACAGGAGAACGAGGGCTTCTAGATCTTCCTAGTCTACACGGTAAACTAAGGCAGCCTGGGCTACACGAGACCCTGCCTCAAAAAGGAAGACGGGATGGGGTATAGCTCTGTATAGAGCACTTGGCTAGCATGTGTAACTAACTCGGGAATTGGAGCTGCCCGTTCCGCTCTGGCCGCAGCCCCGCAGTGTACCTTCCCACAGCTTCCGGTGCTTGTCTTTGGCCTCCTTCTCTGGCTTCTCTGCTTCTTCCTTCACTGCCCGCAGCGTCTCTACCTGGTCTTCCAGAGACTTCCTTCCAGCCTGAAGCTCAAGCAGCTTTCCCTGGAAGGGGAGTGGAGGGCGAAAGTCCAGGTCTGCTTCCACCTGGTCCTGTCTTTGTCTTTGCCTCTGTTCCCCAACATCTTTCCAGACACCCGCATTGTACTCTGGTTCCCAGTGGCTCTCTGGAGAGCCCATGACATCCTGTGTGACATCAGGCCTCCTCCCCAACCCCACCTGTCACACCTGTTTTTTTGAGGAGGGTTACACATGGCAGTCAGATGACAACTCACAGGAATCAGTTCTTTGCTATCCTGAGAGTCAAACTCAGGTCATCAGGCTTGGTGGCCAAGTATTTTTGACCACTGAGCCGTCTCGATGCTCCTCAGATCCCTCCCTCCCCTCCCCTCCCCTCCCCCTTGGCTGTCAGCTCTTTCCATATGCGACTCTTTCAGCCTGAAACATTTTCCATGGCTGACCTGAATTACCCTACAGATTTCCATTAAGATAGCCCTTCCTCCAGGATATCATCTTCATTTCCTGTTCTCAAGACAGGTACGGGTAACCATGCAAGAAAGCTCTTGATGCCCCAAGGTCCTTAAAAGTCCCTACCCAACAGCAAGGATATAACTTTCTAACTATCTAGCATTCCCGAGGCAGGAGCAGGTCGGGTTCTAACATGCATAGCCCCAGGGACACCCTGAGCATACGTTCTCAGAAGCACCAGGTCTGGGAGCACAGAACAGGGCTGAAGCATCTATCTGCCTAGAATCCCCAGTGAGGTTGGGGTTGAGAAGGGCCTGGAATCTTCCGAGGACAGGAACAGAGAGTCTGGAGTCCTGTCTTAGTGCCTTGGGAAGGACCTCCCAGGCAGTGCTGCTGCTGAACCATGAATGAGCCACAACAGTGGGCAAGGGAGGGAAACACAGTGTTGTGGAATATTTCTTTAAGATGTGCTACATTTGTTTACATAATTGTGGAACATTTATTTAATGATGCAAAGATGTGTTGCATTCTTTTATGTTGTGAAGCTGTTTTACTTTGCCTGTCTAAAACACTTGACTGGTCTAATAAAGAGCTGAACAGCCAATAGCAAGGATAGGAGGGGCTGGCAGAGAGAATAAATAGGAGGAGAAAAAGTAGGCTCAAGGAGAAGGAGCAGGAAAGGAGGAGGACCCTAGCGGTCAGCCACCCAGCCACACAGCAAGCCAAGGAGTGAGAAGTAAGAAACGTCTACAGAATAGATAAAGATTAAAGCCCAAAGGCAAAAGATACATGGGATAATTTAAGTTAAGAAAAGCTGGCAAGAAACAAGCCAAGCTAAGACCAGGTATTTATAAGTAATAACAAGTCTCTGTGTGTATTTATTTGGGACCTGGGTGGCAGACCCCCCCAAAAGAGCAAAGAGTAAAAAAAATAACAACACACAAGCCTAAGAATCCTCAAGTACTCATTCAATGTAGCAGTTTTCACTGCCATTAAGCTGAGAGGTTTCCCCAGAACTAGGGTATCAGCAAACACTAACCTAGGTTACAGACAGGGGGCAGGGATACAAACACGTTCTTCCTGTCTGCAGTGTTAACTCTGGCTCGTAAGCTGATAACCTTACTTGGGAAATGCTCGGTCAAGCACTCACAAAGACAGACACAGGCTCATCACAGCTAGAATCGAGTGCATCGCTCTGGATCCCTCACCTGCTTCTCCTCCCGGGCTGTCTTCCACTCCTCAATCAGAATCTTCTTGAGGCGGAACCCCTCTCGGGTGACCTCGGCCAGCTGCTGTAAGGACTCTCTTTCCTTACGACCCTTCTCTCTGGAGCAGACACACACAAGTACCACTAAAGATTCAGGACTCAGCATGTTGGCCTTTTCCGAAGGGCCCAAGTCCCCTGCACGCTCCACCCACACTCCCCTCGAGCAATGCTGAGAAAGAGACAGAAAGAGCCCTCTTCAACCTGCCCCTCCAGGTCTCAGCTCTGACCTCCAGAGGATGAACAGCTGGCTATCCTTGGGATTACAGAACAGACTAGGAGGTGCTGGAAGGGGGCTGGAAGCTAGCCCCCAAACTGACAAAGAGGAGGAAGATCTCTGAGTCTGAGGCCAGCCTGGTTTATATAGTGAATACGAAGCCAGTCAGGGCCACACAAGACAGCCCTGTCTCATAACAAAACACCCCGCACACACACAGCACACACCTGCACACATGCTCTTACCCTCACACACACAGCACACCTGCACACATGTTCTTACCCTCACACACACAGCACACACCTGCACACATGCTCTTACCCTCACACACAGCACACACCTGCACACATGCTCTTATCCTCACACACAGCACACACCTGCACACATGTTCTTACCCTCACACACACAGCACACATGCTCTTACCCTCACACACACAGCACACATCTGCACACACATAGCACACATCTGCACACATGCTCTTACCCTGCACACACATAGCATATAAACACACAAAAGAGATTAAGAAGCCAGGCATGGTGGCACATGTCTTAAATCCCAGCACTTGGGAAGTAGAGACAGGCAGATCTCTGTGAGTTCCGGACCAGTCAGGGGCACACATAGAAAAACAAGAGAGGAGAGAGAGGGAGGGGGAGGGGTAGAGGGAGAGAGGGGAAGAGAGAGAAATTAAAAAACAAAACAAGTAGCGGGTAGGGAAAAAACAAAACCAAGTATTAACCTAATCAGAGCTCAAGTTCAATTTTGCCACCAGACAGTCAAGTCACTTCTCTTGCTGCACTGAGTTTCTCCCCCCCCAGTTTTCTGAAACAGGGTCTCCGGCAGCCCACACTTCAGACTCATTATGTAGCCAAAGGTGGTCTTGAACCTCTGATCCTCCTACCTCCACCTCCCAAGTGCTGTGACTACAGGCCTGTGCCACCATCTCCCATTTTTTGAACAGGTAAACAATCTCAACTACTTTACAGCTGGAGGGATCCCTGGTAAAGTGGAGTTCCCAAGGCGCATGAGCAATGGAGTCACAAAAGGACAGGCCCCGGTGGTTAGGCTTGTAATCCCAGCACCCAGGAGGTAAAGGGAGGAGGCCGTGAGGCTGGGCTGGCTGGACACACTGAGGGAGGACCTATCTAAAAGGCAAAGGAGGCACTGAAGAGACTTCTTTTAGAGGACTGAACTGCAACGCACACCCTCTTCTGGTCTGTGGCGCAGACACGGATGTGGGTGGCACATACTCTGTCTCTCACACACATAATGTAAAGATAAACCTGTCTCTCCCAAGTGCTGGGATGGGAGGTGGGGGGGGGAGGGGCAGGACACAGACAAGGAGCCAGGCACCCCCCAGCCCACCCACCTGCAGGTGTTCTCGCAGACGCTGCCGCTGTTGTACTCATCCGTCCCGTCACAGCAGTCTGCGGCAGGGGAGGGAAGGTCAAAGGGGGCGGGGCCTCCTCCCGCTGGCCCCGCCACCCTCCCCAGGGCCGCAGAGCACCCTCACTTACCACACACCCCATCATTAACCTGGCTGGAGGGGATGTACAAGGCCTTGTACCCAGTGTTGGCGCAGTGGAAGCTGCCATTGGGACAAGCGGCTGTGCCTGTAAAAAGGAACATCATTTTCAGCTACAGTGTGTTCAAGGCCAGCCTGAGCTACGTAAGAGTGTCCCAAGAACAGAAGCACACCGGCAACAACCAAGGCAAGGAGCTGCATCTTTTGGGTTCTGCAGCAGAGCCCTCCAGTCTCCACCAGCCTCTGAGGCCCTTCAAAAAGGCCTGGCGAGCCCCACCCACTCCTCCCAGCCTTCACCTGTCCTGAGAATCCATTCAGCCTTACTCCCTCCCCCACCTCTGAGAGGGGCTATGCTGCTCGTCCTGGAAGCCACTCCTGCCTCCCTCTCTGGTTCACACATTGCCATCTGCTGACTTGGGTCACAACCCTGAACATGTGTTCTTTTATTTGGGATTTGAAACCAGAGACTGAAACCTACAAATCCTACCACTGAGCTAGGGATCTCGTTCCTGTGCCTCCTCCTGCTCACTGAGCATTTGGGGCCCTAATCCTTATGGGGCATCTGCTCTTGGCAGGCTCATTTAACAGGCGGTGAGCGGATGCAGAAGAGACTCACCAGGCTCATCGGAGCCATCCTTGCAGTCGCAGTAATCATCGTTCACCTGATCGAACGGGATGGTGGCTGTGCCGTCCAAACACGTGAAAGGCTTAGATTCGTCATAGAAGTGATGGTCTGGGGAGGAAAACAAGAGACTCAGCTCAGATCGTCTTAAATAAACACTACCTCTGTCCTATCCATCCACCAGGGGAAACTGAGGCAAAAGGCGGAAAATGCCCCCTCCAACCACCAGGCTATGCACAAAACAGGACTCACTGCTTAGGGAAACGCCCCGAGGTCTCTTAACCTCTACTGCCCGGCAGAGGGGTAGCAGCAGCAGCAGCAGGAGCAGCATCCCGTCCGGGCTGAGACCGGAAGTGTGTTATGCGGCAGGAAGCAGGCTGTAGGAAGATGTGCTATTTCCTTCCACTGTAGGAAAGAATGGAGCATCCGGTCACCGGAAGGGTTGCTTATCCAAAACTGGACTCACCACTGCTTCCGGGAAAGGAGCGCTCAGCCGGCTGCCGAACTGGAGGTGCAGGGCCTGGGAGTATCCCCAAGCCGAGCCAGTGGAAGTCTCAAAGGGATCTCAAAACCTTAGGTCTCCGTAACGGGGTGAAGTGGGTGGGCCCAAGGAGGCCACAATCCTCCACCCACCCTCCCCGCTGCAACCTGTAAGGAAGCAGGGTGCCTTCCTCCCACCGCCACCTCTTCACCTACACGAGACAAAGGTCAATCGCCACTACACCAGCTTGGCTCGGCAGCCACACGGCTCCTGCAGCAGCAAGAAGGCGGAACTACCTGGGATGCGTCACTTCCGCTTCGCTCGCCACGCTTGGGGAAATGGCAGCTCGGGGACGCCATGCTGGAAGTGGCGAGCGCGTGGGGAGCCGCGGCGGTGGCGGCCATCTTGAGCGGAAACGTGAAAGACAGCCTTAGAGAGAGCCCATCGGAAGCCTAGCGCTTAATGGCGGAGCAGTGGGCCTCCATCTTGGGAGTGGCGGGCTTCGGGCCAGGCCCGCGACAGTCGGGGAGGGGCGGTGGGTGGCGGCTGGGCCGTGGGCACGTGACCGCCGCAGCGACCCGCCGCTCCCCCAAGCGATCGCTCCGCCCTTCTGCGGAGCCTCCGCCTGGGACCGCCCCTCCGGGCCGCGCCAGCCAGTGAGAGCCGTGGAGTGCAACGCGGATGGTTGCCTTGGGAACGCGGGCGGGGGGACGGAGTTACTAAGCAACCGGGAGATGCTTGGAGGCCCTCAGCCAAGCAGTTAGCAAAAGTGCATTCCCAGAGCTCGGGGAAACCAGTGCTGAGGAACCTGGACTGGAGAGGCCAACTCGGAGTTACTCTCCTACTCTTTAGAGGCTCCTTGACCTCAACTCCGTCACCATGACGTCTCCCCTGTGCTGGGCAGCCGCGACCCAAGCTGTGACTAGTCAGGAGCAAGTTTCAGCTCCCTCTTCCAAAATCAAGGGCTCTAAGGTTCAGGGCCACCGAGGCAAGGCTTTGGGCCGGGCACAGGCCTGGCCTGCACAACGTCTCAAGGCGGGACCCTCCTACCACTCGATAAAGTCTTCTGTGCACGCACAGGTGCTTGAGTTACAAAGGAAAATCCAACTGTTAGGTAAGATGGCTGCAGAGGGTCTTCTGAGTAGGCACCGTGAGACATGGCGTTCAGCCAGTACGAATCTAGGTGACTAATTTGTAGATGCAAGTACTCAGATTTGCTCGTACTTCTCCTTACCTTTCTTTCACATTTCATTGGGGGTTTTTTGTTGTTGTTGTTTTGTTTTGTTTTGTTTTTGGTTTTTCGAGACAGGGTTTCTCTGTGGCTTTGGAGGCTGTCTTGGAACTAGCTCTTGTAGACCAGGCTGGTCTCGAACTCAGAGAGATCCACCTGCCTCTGCCTCCCGAGTGCTGGGATTAAAGGTGTATGCCACCAACGTCTGGCAAGTAGTTATTAGCTCTTGGGGAACTAGGAATAACTTAATTGTATTCATTCTTTCCATCTATAAAACGAGCATAGTAAGTGAACAATGTAGTACTTGAAATTCATAAAATGCTCAAAACAGTGCACATTGTTACATAGTAGAAAGTGAAAATTAGTGGCTTCCATGGAGGGAGTTAATGCTGTTCTTTCCTGAGACCACTGAGCAATTCTGCAGACTTTTTTGACTGTCATATTGCTGAATATGGGGGCTTATTAAGCAGAGGACAGGAAAAAGCTTTACATGTTACTACAGCCTGATACAGCTCCACAGCAAAGAACTACCAAGACCAAATATTCGTTATGCCAACATTTGGAAAACCCTAGTATGCTACTGCTCCTATTGTTAAGATGTAATCTTAAACCAGGCTGTGGTGGTGCACAACTTTAATCCCAGCACTCTGGAGGCAAAGGCAGGCAGATCTCTGTGAGTTCAAGGCCAGCCTGATTTGCAAAGTGAGATCCAGGACAGCCAGGGCTACACAGAGAAACCCTGTCTCCAACACCACTTCCCACAAAAGAGGTAATCTTTCAGGCTGGGTATGGTGGTACATGCCTTTAATCTACATATGGAATCCCAGGTGTGTGTGTGTGTGTGTGTGTGTGTGTGTGTGTGTGTGTGTGTGTGTGTGTGTTTTCAAAACCAGACATAGTAGCATACACCTGTAGTCTGCATGTTTGGGAAGCAGGAGGATTAGGAGTACAAGATCATCCTTGGGTATGCAGCAAGTCCAGAGCTAGCCTGGGCTTGGGACTCTAACCTAGGCCCTGCATGTGCTAGGCAAGCCCTGGAGCTCTTAGCTGAGCCTCACTGAACTTTTTTTTTAATGTTTTTTTTTTTTTGAGACAGGGTCTCTCTGTGTAGCCTTGGCTGTCCTGGAACTCACCCTGTAGACCAGGCTGTCCTGGAACTCATTGCATCCTCCTACTTCTGCCTCCTGAGTGCTGGAATCAAAGGTGTGCGCCACCACCAGCAGCACTTAATATTCCTCTAGTTTAAAATATGGTGTGGCAGCAATTGCAGTACTTAGGCTGAGGCCTTGAGTTTGAGGATAGTATGGGGTATCTAGTGAGCTAAAAGTAACCTGGGCTACAGAGTAAGACACTGGAGAGAGAGAGAGAGAGAGAGAGAGAGAGAGAGAGAGAGAGAGAGAGAGAGAGAAATGTAGGTCAGCACAGCACACAGTCTCAGTCTCAACAGATAAGGATGCCTGATGACTGAGTTTTCCTCCGGGACCTTGAGTTTCTGCTCCTCCTACTCTGCCTTCCTCATGCTAAGAGGGTAAAGGAATGAGCCAGCACCCCCTGTTTTATAGGGTGCTTGGGACTGATACTGTCATCCTGTAATAAAATAAGTTCATGGGCTGGGGAGAAAATTTTGATTATTTTGTTTGTTTGGTTTGTTTTCGTTTTTTGTTTTGGTTGAGACAAGGTCTCTCAATGTAACCTTAACTGCCCTGGAACTTTCTTTGTAGACTTGGCTGGCCTTGAGTTCAGAAATCTGCCTGCTGAGGTCTTCTGAGTGTTGAGATTAAAGCAGTGGTCACCACACTGGTTTGTTTATTCATGTTTGTGCTGCTTGAGATCAGACCAGGTCCTCATGAAGGCTAGTTATGAGCTACAGCCATAGCCATATCAGTTTTGGTTTTTAAATTAATTTTTAAAACTTTGTGCATATGAATGTTTTACCTGTATATGTATATCTGTGCACCATGTGTGTGCCTGGTGCCTTTGAAGGCCAGAAGAAGGCATCAGATCCCGTGGAACTGAAGTTACAGACTATTGTGAGCTGCCTTGTGGGTGCTGGACATCAAACCTCCGGGGGAGCCATCCTGTTAACCACTGAGCCATCTCTCCAGCTTCTGATTTTTGCTTTTCATTTGGTTGAGTTTGTTTGCTTATTTGTTTTTTTGAGACAGGATTTCTCTAAGACAACTCTGGCTGTCCTAGAACTTGCTTTGTGGACTAGGCTGGCCTCGAACTCACAGAGCTCTGCCTGCCCCTGCCTCTTAGGTACACCACCACACCTATTTAGCTCATATGGTTTTGACTGACAGGGAATACTTATACATGTTTATGGAATAAAGAGTGCTATTTTAGTATATTGTATCATAAGTAGATTGTGGTAATTGGGATTTCTACCATCAGACATTCCTGGTGTTATTGCGAAGGGCATATAATCCTTTGTATAGCTATTTGGCAATGTGTGCGATGTTTATACTGTTATTACTCTACTGTGCCTCAGGGCATCAGAATTCATCCCCTGCACCCAGTAAAATATCCTCTCTGTACCGTCAGGCATCATAATACTGCTGACTGGGCTTGAGGTGCATAACAGGTGGCCAAGGCAGGAAGATCCAGGCTACCCTGAGCTACATACTATTAAAGGGATCAAACAAAAAATGATTTGTGAAAGGTCTTACATTGCCAGGAATGATGGGACACACATATATCATCTCAACATTTGGGGCTTAGAGATGTGAAGATCAGGAGTTCAAGGTCATCCTTGACTACATATTGAGTCCCATACCATCCTGGGCTATAAGAAACTTTCTCTGAGGAAAACAAGACCAAAAGGGGTAATGGTGGTGGAGATATGACTAAGTGCTTGCTTCAAAATCCTGAAGACCAGAGTTTCAATCCTCAGCACTCACATAAAAAGCTGGGTACATGCCTCTAACTTCGGCTCCTAGTTGGGTAGAAAACGGAGCCTCACTGCTTTCAACCTAGCAGAGATCCCAGCCCCATATTCACAGTAAGACTCTACCTCCAAAAGGAATGGGTAGGACACCAGAGAGATTCCTCAGCAGTTAAGCTACACACTGTTCTCACCAAGGACCCAAGTTCAGTTCCCAGCGCCCGTTCCAGCAGTCCCCTACCACCTCTAACTCCACCACCTCCAGGGGACTCAAAGTCATCTTCTGGCTTCTGCAGATAATGTACACATGCACACATATGAAAACACACACACTTGAAATATTGTTAAGATTTTATTTTTAATAATGTATATGTGTCTGGGGGCAGGGGTTGTACACATATGTATAGGTGCCCAAAAAGGCCAAACAAGGAATTTTGACCCCTGGAACTTGAGTATAGGCAGTTGTGAGCCACCATGTGGGTGCTAGAACTGAACTTGTGTCCTCTGCAAGAAGAGCAGTGCATCTTAACCTGGTGAGGCATTGCTCTCCCAGCCTCTACAATAAAGTCCTCTATTGGGTGATATGAAGAGACCCAATGTCTCTGTCCACCAAGGGCATAGCACATAGACCCCCCACAAGCATGTGGGTATACTCATGCGAGCACTTCTCCCTCATCTTCTTGTTCTTTTTAAGGGGCTGTAGCTCAGCTGGCAGGGTACTTGCCTAGCATGCTCCAACCCCAGCTCTGCAGAGACTGAGTATATGACTGCACATCTACAGTCCCAACACCTGGGAGATGGAGGGAGGAGGAGCAAGAGCCAGCCTTGGCTATGTGATGAGTTTATGGCCAGCTTGAGCTACAAGGAACCCTATCAAAAAATGAAAACAAAACAAACAAAAAAACCTACCACCACTACCACCAAATAGGTCTTTTCTGTGGGAAGTGCCATCCACCTGCCCAATGACAGTGACCCCTGTCTGCCCCAGAGGGTGACCGGAAGGCTTTTTATGAGAGCTCCCAATGGAACATGAAGAAGAACCAAGACACCATCAACCAGCTTCAAGAGGAGACCAAGGCTCTCCACATGCAGCTGAAAGACCTGCTTCAGGTAAGGGTGCACCGGTGAGCCCGAGGTTTGTGGGGGCCAACAAGTAACCTGAGGGAGTGACTGGGCTCCTCTCCTTGGCAGGGAGATTCTAAAGTGGTCCAGGCAATCATTCTGGAATGGAAGTCAGAGAAGCCTTATCTGAAGAACAGGACTTGTGAGGTTAGCCCCCCACCCCACCCCTCACTTACTCCACACCGACTTCCTGCCCTAGGAGCTTCCTCTCCAGGCTTTCTCCAAACCAGCTGCTGAGCGTTTATTTATTCACTCAATGAAAAAAATTAACATTTGTTTTTGTATATGCAGTCTCAGGTGCCTCAACATGTGGTGTTATGGAGGTCAGACAACAACAACTAGGAGTTGGTTCTCTCCTACCATGTGGGTTTCGGTAAGGGAACCCAGACCATCAGGCATAGCAGCAAGCACTTTTACCCTCTGAGCCGTCTTGCTGGTCGGTCAATGAAATCTTTATTACACACTGACCTTGTGTTTGACCCAGTGTTGCCTTTGGTGGCATTTCCATGATAAAGCAAAGTGAGCCCTTCCAAGGAGGTGTCCTAGTAGAAGACTGACAGCTGTGGAGTGTCGGGTGGATGCCTCTATTCTGAGCACGGGGAGGCTGAGGCAAGTGAAAAAGGAGTTGATGGTCAGCCTGGGCTGCATAGTGATACCTGAAACCCTGGCTTGTGGGCATGGTATCAGTCTGGAGACATAGCTCAGTAGTTAATAGAACATACTGCTCTTGCAGAGAACCCAAGTTGGATTTGAAGCACCCACTTGAGGCTGCTCACAACTGACTGTAACTCTAGCACCTAATTCAATGTCTTTGGCCCCTGAGGGCCCTGCACACATTTGCACACACCCACATTCATACGCATAATTAAATAGGAAATACATCTTTAAAAAGGAAAGAGGACCCTGGGCAGCGGTGGCGCACGCACACCTTTAATCCCAGCACTATGGAAGCAGAAGCAGGCGGATCTCTGTGAGTCCAAGGCCAGTCTGGTCTACAGAGCGAGTTCCAGGGCAGGCAGCCAGGGCTGTTACACAAGGAACCCTGTCTTGAAAAAGAGGAGAGAGAGGAGAGGGGGGAGGAGGGAGGGGAAAAGAAAGAGTTGGGTAGAGAACTTGAGTGCCGGGACCCAGGGCTGAAACTGGGACTCTGAAAAAGATGTAAAAGATGTAAACCACCAAGTCTCTGCTTATTTCTCCAGTCGGGGGTCGTGTGGGGTCTGTGTCTGCCTCCCTCCTGAGAAGAGCAGAGGCCCCACCTGGACAGCCTTGGTGCTGGACAGCCTTCCTGCAGCCGCTCCCCTCTCCAGGTGGCCAGATAAGAGTTCCCGTCTTGTCTTCCTGGACAGTGGCACAGCAGCTAAGCTAATTGGTATTGAGGCCACTGTAGTTGGTGTGGCCTGATGAGAGCCTGGCATTGGAATGGTGTTCGGCAACTTGATTATTGGCGCTGGCAGGAACCCATCTCTCATGGAGCAGCTCTGTGCCATTGTGGGCTTTGCTCTTCTCTTTAGTGATTGCATTCCTCATCTGTCCCCGTGTGAGGCTCTGTGGGCTCACCAGATGACTACGTGTGTGCTCAGCTTTACAGGCTGGGGGCGAGGGAGATCCTTAAATCTTTAAAAATCCAGGCACTGGAGGCTGAAGCTATGGCTCAATGGGTTAGAGCACAGAGCACCTAAGTGCAGTTCCCAGCGCCCACACAGCTGCTCACAAATGTCCTTAACTCCAGCTGCAGGGGATCCAGTGCCCTTTTCTGGCATCCAGGGGCATTAGACACAAATGGTGCACAGATATATATGCAGACAACATGCCATTACACTTAAAAATGAAATAAGAATTTAAAAATGTGAAAACTGCCAGATGTTGGTGGTGCAGGCCTTTAATCCCAGCACTTGGGAGGCAGAGGCAGGCGGATCTCTGTGAGTTCGAGGCCAGCCTGGTCTACAGAGCGAGTGCCAGGACAGCCTCCAAAACAATACAGAGAAACCCTGTCTGGAAAAAAAAAAAAAAGAAAGAAAAAAGTGAAAACTGTGATGGGAGATGAACCAGGGACCTGGGGAGATGGCTCAGTCAGTAATGTGCTTGCTATGTAAGCATAAGTCCTATTTCCAGAACCCATTAAAAAATCTGAGTGCTGGCAAGATGGTCCAATAGACAAAAGTGCTTATTGCCAAGCATGATGACCTGAGTTTGATATTTGAGCTCAAAAGATAGATGGGAAGAACCAATTCACTAATTCCCTCCCACAAGTTGTCCTCCAACCTCCATATGTGCACCCACACACATAGCAAAATAAGTGAAAAGAATGGGGGTTCAGGTGTGGTTGCAAGTACCTGTCATCCCAGCACTGGGGAACTGAGAGAGGGGGTCCCAGAGCTCTCAGCAGCTTGTTAGTGATCCAGCCAGCCCAGGCTCAGGGAGAGGCGTGCCTAAATCAAAAAGCTGCAAGCTAAAAGAGAAAGACCCCACACTTTGACCTCTGATCTCCATGTACATAGGTACACCTGCTCTCTCTCTCTCTCTCTCTCTCTCTCTCTCTCTCTCTCTCTCTCTCTCTCTCTCTCTCTGTTTCTCACAGGCTCGGGCACACATACACACACACACACACACACACACACACACACACACACACACACACGAAGACAAAGCCCTGGTTGGTCTCCAGGCTCTCGTTAAATAGGGTACAATGGTACACCAATATGATCCCAA